TACAAGAAAAAGATACTGGTATATTTATTAGCAAATGAGAGTCCAAATATTATTAAGAAAATAAAATAATACTAGTTTCAAATCATCTAAAATACCTCCAACATATATATGATTTTCAGATTAATCCTGTTAATTCATAACTAAAAAGGGATAACATCTTCATTTTTCAGAGATTAACTGGAATAGAAAAGTTATAAATATGCCTGATAAAAAGTTGTTACTCTCATCATTATAAATTCAGGTAGGATGATAGACTTGATTTTTGGATTGTAAGTTAATTCTTTATTGGTAATATCTCTATTATTGAATTATGATAAACAAATAATCATTAATTATAAAAATTAACTTAATTGAAGAGTATTAAAAAAATACATTACTATTTTCGTAATTTGGAAATTAAGTATTTGAGTTTGATTTCAATGAAAATAAATGTATCTAATGAAAAAAGGTAAACTGCCAGAATTACTTTCTAGCTCAAACCTTCAGTAAATAAATATATCAATTTTTTGTCTAATATACCGGCTCCTCTGTTGTTCAAAATTAGAAAGTTATCAAAAATAAGACAACATTGTTGTGAGATTCTAGTTTGATTTATTGATATTAATAGAAAATGGCTGATATATATTAAAGTGGACATATCATTAGTTAATTTAGCAAAGAATCAATAATATTAAGAAATGATGGTCATAATTTATCAATTTTTTTTGATCACTTCAATAACGAAGACTATGAAATTTAAAATATTTGTTTTAGCATAGCATAAATTAATAGTATTAATTAAAAATAATAAGACCGTATGGAAATTCTAAAATGTTGCAACACCCTTATCACATTCATTGTAACCATCTTAATATACCAATACATCATTAATTTTAAGAAATTACTATTAACTAATTCCTTTAATTAAAAACTAGAATTAATGTTTATTAATACTAGAAAATCAATCATTTTATTTAGAAGGGAATGGTGAAGAATAAAGGAATTGTCTGCATACAAAAAGAATGAAAAGTGACAATAAATTATCTAAATAGCCTAATCAGAAAAACAAGAAGTTTATATTTTCATCTACATAGCAAGATCATGTTATTTTAACATTCAATTTAAATAATCAATGATTTGAATTAGAAATTCATTGATTGACAAATAAACCATAATATCATAAATATGAGATCAAATATATTGATCCAAATTCTATAACTTTCGAATTAAATCTGTAGTCTACCATTAAAATTTTCTATTGATTAAATTATATTATTCTTTTAGCATTTAGTTTTACATTCTCTTATGTAGATCCTAAGACAATTTTTCACAAGTCTCAATACAATATTGACAATACTGACAATATATTAAATTATTTATTAAATAAAATATAAAATGGCAATTTGGTAATTGAATCAAACTTCTAATCCTTTAAGTATTTAAATGCAAAAATTCAAAGTGATACCGAGATTATTATATTCTTAATGGTATTAATTTCTTTTAAGATATTATAGAGTAAGAGAGATTAAATATCATTTTCAGGCATACTTAGTAATATCGTTATTCTTTTTGTGAGAAATTAGTATAAATTAAATTAGAGTGGTTAAGACTTTGATTTGATAAAAAATTGAAAAATTTCTTTCTTTATTATGCTTTAGTTCATAATGGCACTAAAATTAGATTTGACATTATTTTGGACTAAATTTGTAGATAAATATTAATTTGTTAGAATCCCACAAAAATATTAGTTAAAATATTATTTTATGCTTACTATAAAATTTATTCCTTCATTTGCCCAGAAATATAAAATAATAATTAAATAATAATCTAATTTACATAAAGTGATTAAAATTAATTAATAATTATCAATACTTCAAAATTCTAATAATGCTCACAATCATTTTAACACAAAAATAATAGGAATTAGAATGAAATAGCTATTGTTATTTTCTTAAAAATGTAGGTCGCTCAAGAAAATAATTGTTTAATTTTTAATAATATTAAAAAGGGATATTAAAATATTTAATTAATCAATTGTAAAGTATGAGGAATAAAAAGATATTTGTATATCTTTGCAAATTCTACATATGAATTCTACAAGCGTAATATCATTTTTAATCTCTGAGATCATTTAAAAAGTGATTAATATTTTTAATCTCTTATATTTATATCTATTAAACCCTTATTGCATCATCTATTTAATTATATATTATTTATTATATTAATGTACAACTTCCTGTTTAGTCTCAACCTTATTTTTATGAACTGCTTATGTAAGGATACCTTATTCTATTCTAGTAACTCAAAGTTGCAATCAAGGAGAAGTTGATATTAGCGGCGATTGTATACCTTGCTCATCAAATTGCATAATTTGTACAATTCCTTATACGTGTGATACTTGTAAGACAGCATATTATGTTACACCTATAAAGCAATGCAGTAGTTGTTCATCTAATTGCGAAGTTTGTAGTGGTGGAAGTGGACTTTTCTGCTCAAGTTGTTTTCCTAAGTATTATAAAGCTACATCGAGTTGTAATTCATGCCCCACTTACTGCGCAACTTGTACTAGTAATTCTGTATGTTAAACTTGTGTGGATCATTATTTAATTATTGGGACTTTATGCTAAGTTTGTGATGCTTCTTGTAAAACTTGTTAAACTACTACTACTACTTGTACATCATGTGATGCTGGCCAATATCTTTCTGGTTCATCATGTCTTCCTTGCACGTCACCTTGTTCAGAGTGCGTCAATGCCTCAACTTCCTGCACAGCTTGCATTGATAGTAACAGAACAGCTGTCAATTATCAATGTGTTTGCGCTGATGAATATTATACAGATGGATCAAATTAATGTTAGCCATGTGCAGCACCATGTTCAAAGTGTGAAAATAATGCTACTAATTGTACAGATTGTGTCACTACTTTTACATTAAGTACTGCTATACCATATAAATGTGATTGCTCCTTTGGCTATTTTTAAGTTGATTCTCAAACATGTGATGTATGCGTAAGTCCATGTGAAACTTGTGAATTCAATTAGAGTCACTGTTTAACTTGCTTGGATCCAAATTCAATAGTCAATAGTTCATATTAATGTGTTTGTTAATTAGGTTGGCTTTTAGATGCTGATGGTGTCACATGCAATTAATGTTAATTACCATGTTNTCATAATGGCACTAAAATTAGATTTGACATTATTTTGGACTAAATTTGTAGATAAATATTAATTTGTTAGAATCCCACAAAAATATTAGTTAAAATATTATTTTATGCTTACTATAAAATTTATTCCTTCATTTGCCCAGAAATATAAAATAATAATTAAATAATAATCTAATTTACATAAAGTGATTAAAATTAATTAATAATTATCAATACTTCAAAATTCTAATAATGCTCACAATCATTTTAACACAAAAATAATAGGAATTAGAATGAAATAGCTATTGTTATTTTCTTAAAAATGTAGGTCGCTCAAGAAAATAATTGTTTAATTTTTAATAATATTAAAAAGGGATATTAAAATATTTAATTAATCAATTGTAAAGTATGAGGAATAAAAAGATATTTGTATATCTTTGCAAATTCTACATATGAATTCTACAAGCGTAATATCATTTTTAATCTCTGAGATCATTTAAAAAGTGATTAATATTTTTAATCTCTTATATTTATATCTATTAAACCCTTATTGCATCATCTATTTAATTATATATTATTTATTATATTAATGTACAACTTCCTGTTTAGTCTCAACCTTATTTTTATGAACTGCTTATGTAAGGATACCTTATTCTATTCTAGTAACTCAAAGTTGCAATCAAGGAGAAGTTGATATTAGCGGCGATTGTATACCTTGCTCATCAAATTGCATAATTTGTACAATTCCTTATACGTGTGATACTTGTAAGACAGCATATTATGTTACACCTATAAAGCAATGCAGTAGTTGTTCATCTAATTGCGAAGTTTGTAGTGGTGGAAGTGGACTTTTCTGCTCAAGTTGTTTTCCTAAGTATTATAAAGCTACATCGAGTTGTAATTCATGCCCCACTTACTGCGCAACTTGTACTAGTAATTCTGTATGTTAAACTTGTGTGGATCATTATTTAATTATTGGGACTTTATGCTAAGTTTGTGATGCTTCTTGTAAAACTTGTTAAACTACTACTACTACTTGTACATCATGTGATGCTGGCCAATATCTTTCTGGTTCATCATGTCTTCCTTGCACGTCACCTTGTTCAGAGTGCGTCAATGCCTCAACTTCCTGCACAGCTTGCATTGATAGTAACAGAACAGCTGTCAATTATCAATGTGTTTGCGCTGATGAATATTATACAGATGGATCAAATTAATGTTAGCCATGTGCAGCACCATGTTCAAAGTGTGAAAATAATGCTACTAATTGTACAGATTGTGTCACTACTTTTACATTAAGTACTGCTATACCATATAAATGTGATTGCTCCTTTGGCTATTTTTAAGTTGATTCTCAAACATGTGATGTATGCGTAAGTCCATGTGAAACTTGTGAATTCAATTAGAGTCACTGTTTAACTTGCTTGGATCCAAATTCAATAGTCAATAGTTCATATTAATGTGTTTGTTAATTAGGTTGGCTTTTAGATGCTGATGGTGTCACATGCAATTAATGTTAATTACCATGTTTAGAATGTGTAGATACAATTAATAAATGTGTTACCTGTTATGATCAAACACATTAATCCCCTGATACTTGTGTTTGTGAGCCTGGGTGGATTATCGATCCTAATTATAATTGTATTAGTTGTTAATAACCATGTAAAACATGTGAGATATCTACTTCTTAATGCTTAACATGTTTGGATATAAATCAGGAAGTTAATTCTTCAAAATAATGTGTTTGCAAGTCTACTTATTATGCTGATAGCCCAATAACTTGTGCATAGTGTTAATAACCATGTTATGAATGCGATACAATTGGTTGCATCAACTGCATAGACGTAAATCAAATCCTGGATTCCAATAAATAGTGCATTTGTAAATCTGGATATGTTTAATCAGGGTATGTGTGTCTTCAATGTTTAAATCCATGTACTACTTGTATCAATTCTGTTAGCCAATGTTTAACATGTATGGATCCAAACTAGATAGTCTAAAATTTTAAATGCTTATGTAAGGAAGGGTTTGTAAAAAAGGGAAATTACTGTTGTGATGAATATTGTTCAGATTGTTAAGGAGTAGATAGTTGTAATAGTTGTATAAAAGGATATTTTCTGACTAATATCAATAGATGTTTATAATGTATTGATTATTGTGATATTTGCTACAATCAAAGTGTTTGCTAAACCTGTTAAGAGGGTTACTTTATAAATTAATAGTCTCAATGTGAAGCATGTGTTCCTTCTTGTAAGGTATGTGGTGATCCATAAATATGTGATGTTTGCTTTGATGGCTATTATCTATTGGATTGGAAATGTGAGGCATGTAATCAAAATTGTTTAACTTGCAATGAAGTTTCTGATAAATGTGTTACATGTAGACCCAATTATGAAATCAATTCTAATAATTAATGTTTCTGTAAATTTGGATACTATGAAGAGTAGAATCAATGTTATAGATGTGAATATCCATGCAAAACGTGTTTAAGTTAATCAATATGTTCAGAATGTTTTCAATTATCTAATTTACACTTAGATGAAAATGCTCAATGTAAATGTAGTCCTGGGTTCTTCTGGAAGTAGAACAGTTGTTCCCAATGTCATTAAACTTGCTTAACTTGTATTGATGATTAATTAAATTGTTTGACTTGTGACTAAAAACTACATCGAATTTTAAAGTATCACAAATGTTAATGTTCTTAAGATTATTTTGAGAGTGAAGATGCATTGTGTATATCATGTTTGACTGATTAAGGGAAATCTTAAGAAATTTGTAAATACTCAGATTGCAATGATAAAATTTGGACATATGGAGAAGAATGTGATGATGGTAATGATGTAATTAGAGATGGTTGCTCGAATTGCAAGATTGATCATAATTATTCTTGTTCTAATGAGATACTAAAGTAGTCAATTTGTTTTCAATGTTCGACTCATTGCATTAAATGCCAACTTGATCCTCAGACAAAAAAGTCGCAATGTACCAAATGTGAGTTTGGATATTTCTTAGATAAAAATGATTGTGTTGAATGTTCAATCAATTGTTTAGAATGTATTGATCAAGCCTATAATTGCGTAAGTTGTAAGTTTCCATAATAAAAGAATCACAAGTGTGAACTCTGCGAATCTGGATACTATGCCGATGAGGATAATGGAACTTGTTTAAATATATGTGGAGATTAAATTAAAGTAAAAGAGGAAGAATGCGATGATGGTAACACTATTAAAGGTGATGGGTGTGATAATTAATGTCGACTAGAAGGTAAGTACATATTTGTAAACGGTGTAAGTATCATACCAAACTATCCAAAACCATTATTATAGAGTGTAGGCTCTTCTTAAATCTATTCTGTTACTCGATTATTTAAATTATACTATACTTCTCCAATAGTTATTAAAGAAGGTTTTCAAATCAAAGATTATCTAACCTTTCACATCTCGAACAACCTTGGTGTACAATAAATCGATCAGTCCATTCAACTCACTCAAGATACTTAATAAATCAATGAGTTTAATTAATCTGAATTCAGTTTGATGATGAATATCACTTTCTCAAGAAGTTCACAAGATGAAAACTTAATAGTCAAATTCTTAAATAAATCTGTCATTTATTCAAATGAAGGATACTCCCAAATCGAAACTGAAGTCTCTTGTCTTATACCTAAAGTTATATTTATAGATGACGCTGCCATTGCTCAAGTACAAATGGCTACAAAGAGTAACACCTACATGCTCTACTTTATTGGAGCAATGTGTGGAGGATCAGTGATATTCGGAGGAGTAGAAGTCTTTTTCAACTTGTTGGATACTCTCTAAATGCTATCCTATTTTAAATACATCAATACACAACTCCCGTATAATTTATAATCCTATTTTGAACTATTTGGATTTGCTTAATTTAACTTTATTTAAAAAATCTTTGATTTCTCGGGATTTATTGATGAACTACTCGATACTGAACATTTAAAGAAGATACCCTCCAAAGTAGCAAGTGATGAAATAACATCACTTTTTATTATTAATTCTGCAACAATTGCTACAGTTTGGCTTTCACTTTTTGGTATCTATGCCATTGCAAAAGTGATACCTAAACTTTTATATTCATTCAAATTTAAGTTTTATTCTGAATCTTTAGCCGAAAACTCGAGACTTGTATAAATTGGAGTATATTTTTTGACAATTAAGTTTATCATTAATAAACTATGTTTTGTAATCATTTAAGAATTTTTCTATAGTGGAATCTTACGTGCTCATATGGCTACAGCATATGATTTTACTTTCAGTGTAGTATTGCAATTGTATGCCTTAGAACTTAACTCACCTAATTATTTTATCAGATTAAGCTCTTTATTGGCTTGCGTTGCAAGTTCAATATATATATTTACCATCTACTTTGTAATAAAAATATCCTAGATGAAGAAATATGCTTTGAATAATTAGGAGATCTAGGCTAAATATGGATCTATTTTTGATGGAATTAAAAAAAATCAGTTCTCCAAATATCTTAACGCTATACTTTTGATCAAAAAACTTATCTTTATGCTTTTATTAATTTTCGCATATGAATTTCCAACCTTTCAAACTATCAGCATTATGCTTCTATCAATCTCGACGAGTCTATTTTATATCTTTTTCAATCCTATAGAGGATAAATTGGAGTATTTTAAATAGTTATATTCTGAAGTTAGCATCTCTTGTACACTTTTGAGTATTACAATTTTGACTTGTGATTTTGAGTTAGCCTATTTTACATATGAAATTAGATAATATTTTGGATGGTGTTGCATTTTTAGCATGACTTCAATATTATCTATTTAATTGGGGATTGATGGATTTTAACAGTGGAGATTTATTTTTCAGAAGTATAAGCAAGTTAGAAAAATTGCTTAATTAATACTTGGAGTTTTTTAAAATAACAGATAAGTGCCTGCTACTTCCAACATTTTCTAATGATTAAATTTGATTTAAAGCAATTCTAAAGTAAACTATTTCTGTAATGAATATTATAATATATACACTTAATTTTATCCTTCATTCGTACAATATATTGATTTCTAAATGATTAATTTCTTATATTTGAATATATCCAAAAAACTCATAACCTTAGTGAATAACATACCTTGTTATATAATTTAATCACTAAATTGATCGATTTAAGGATTATTTTCATATTCTTACCTAATTGTTCAATCAATAATCTTGAATTCTAACCAAGGTTTTCCTTAATTTTCTAAACTTTTGTTCAAAATTTTTAATATATTAGAACAACTAATTGATAATAGGATACCACTTTAGTATTTTCCAATTAAAAAACAAACATTACTCTAAAATGTTTTTAGATAATAATTTTCAATCTCCTTTCCCTCAAATAACTGAAGTTTCAACAATTTCTTAGGAAAATCAACATATCTTTTACCTAGTGTCTAGGAATACATTCCAACTTAATATTAATATGACAGACTTCAAAAATAGATAGAAAATGACTATCCTCAGGCATATCAATTTGATAAGAATTATGTAATTAAAAAAAGAACATAATAAATATCATTTATGATTTATTTTCAGAATAAAGAAATTATAAATATATAATAATTAATCATCAATATTATTTCACTCCCACCTTCATGTATGATAATTATCTAGTACAATATCTGGATTGGTGATCAAAATCTGCAAATGTCATTGATTATTATTCCATTTTTCCTATACGTAATTAATTAATAAATTGGGGCTTTCATTTTTAATTATTGTTTAATTCTAAATATCCAATAGTGAGAATACATTAGAGTACTATTGAATTAAAAATTGGATTTTAAAAATTCACTCCCTTCTTGACCATTCTTAAATTAATCTGAGATTTAATATTTAATATAAAATTTTTTAAACAGAGAAAAAGTAACGTTCTTCAATTTCAAACCTTGATCCNCGCTATACTTTTGATCAAAAAACTTATCTTTATGCTTTTATTAATTTTCGCATATGAATTTCCAACCTTTCAAACTATCAGCATTATGCTTCTATCAATCTCGACGAGTCTATTTTATATCTTTTTCAATCCTATAGAGGATAAATTGGAGTATTTTAAATAGTTATATTCTGAAGTTAGCATCTCTTGTACACTTTTGAGTATTACAATTTTGACTTGTGATTTTGAGTTAGCCTATTTTACATATGAAATTAGATAATATTTTGGATGGTGTTGCATTTTTAGCATGACTTCAATATTATCTATTTAATTGGGGATTGATGGATTTTAACAGTGGAGATTTATTTTTCAGAAGTATAAGCAAGTTAGAAAAATTGCTTAATTAATACTTGGAGTTTTTTAAAATAACAGATAAGTGCCTGCTACTTCCAACATTTTCTAATGATTAAATTTGATTTAAAGCAATTCTAAAGTAAACTATTTCTGTAATGAATATTATAATATATACACTTAATTTTATCCTTCATTCGTACAATATATTGATTTCTAAATGATTAATTTCTTATATTTGAATATATCCAAAAAACTCATAACCTTAGTGAATAACATACCTTGTTATATAATTTAATCACTAAATTGATCGATTTAAGGATTATTTTCATATTCTTACCTAATTGTTCAATCAATAATCTTGAATTCTAACCAAGGTTTTCCTTAATTTTCTAAACTTTTGTTCAAAATTTTTAATATATTAGAACAACTAATTGATAATAGGATACCACTTTAGTATTTTCCAATTAAAAAACAAACATTACTCTAAAATGTTTTTAGATAATAATTTTCAATCTCCTTTCCCTCAAATAACTGAAGTTTCAACAATTTCTTAGGAAAATCAACATATCTTTTACCTAGTGTCTAGGAATACATTCCAACTTAATATTAATATGACAGACTTCAAAAATAGATAGAAAATGACTATCCTCAGGCATATCAATTTGATAAGAATTATGTAATTAAAAAAAGAACATAATAAATATCATTTATGATTTATTTTCAGAATAAAGAAATTATAAATATATAATAATTAATCATCAATATTATTTCACTCCCACCTTCATGTATGATAATTATCTAGTACAATATCTGGATTGGTGATCAAAATCTGCAAATGTCATTGATTATTATTCCATTTTTCCTATACGTAATTAATTAATAAATTGGGGCTTTCATTTTTAATTATTGTTTAATTCTAAATATCCAATAGTGAGAATACATTAGAGTACTATTGAATTAAAAATTGGATTTTAAAAATTCACTCCCTTCTTGACCATTCTTAAATTAATCTGAGATTTAATATTTAATATAAAATTTTTTAAACAGAGAAAAAGTAACGTTCTTCAATTTCAAACCTTGATCCTATTCTTCAACTAATGGATTAATACCCCAACATCATCAAATGACTAAAAATCTCTACATAAGAATTCAATCAATCAATTTAAAGGGAGAATATTTTGAGATCATCTTGAGGACTTAATTATCTTCAATAATCATATATATTCATAAAAAAAGATGAACTTCGAAATTATCTATTTTAAATAATTATTCACAACTTTTCCATACTTAATCCATAATAGTATCCTCATGTTAACATTATGTACAAAAATAATTGGACACTCTTGTTTTGAGCAAAGTGGTTTAATTGATTTTCATTTAATTTCTAATGTATTTTATTCTATTTTTCCTTTAATAAATTTTATAGTTCAAAACTAAAAGGATTCATACTCATACATCGACAATTCTACTTAATCATAGATTTGCTGAATATACTTTGCTTATAACTTTTCTGATTTTGTTGTATTTATTTCTTAGATCATTAATAGTATGTATAGTATTACGACTTTGATATTAGGGTATAACATCAGAGATAACTCTATTGGATATTTAAATTAGCATCTTTTAGTGATAGAGTTCTAGATTTGTAAAATTGAGTTCAGAATTCTAGAACATCAAATTTTTGGCATTCTAACTGCTAATTTTACTCCTTTGACTGTTCAGCTTAAAATTTTTGCATATTAGTAACAATTCGATTATATCATATCTCTAAATTATTATTATTAATAATAATGTATAAAATACGAGAAGAAGAAAGATTTAACTGTGATTCATGTAGGAGGAGGATTTATTTAAGAGATAGATGTATTGGATAACTTTTGAATATAATAAATAGAAACTTATTTATGGAGGAATATAGAATATAATAATTTATGTATTATTATTAATCATCATACCTTAAAGAATTACATCAAATCAAATGAGATTATAATCTAACCATATTGTTATTTTGTCGAAACGTAGAATTCTAATGCAAAAAAAGTCTCAAAGGGAATTCAATTTGATAAAGAAAAATAATTGTGAATATGAAGATATTATTTCAATTATTATTGAGGCTGCAGGTTAAAATAAAGAAGATAAAAGTTGGAATACTTTACCGATTTGATAAATATCACAGAGATCAAATTATAGCCAAATGGTGGACATTTACAATTATAGAAAAAAAATTAAAACATGTCAGATAGATTGATTGATTGTCATAAACTTATTTCTCTTAATACTTAGTTTTAATAGATCATTCATTATCGAGAGAACAAAAATGTCTTAAAAAAGGGAGTGTTAAGTAGAGAAATTTTTGATATGCATAATACTTCTCTATGTAATTAGAAACTCGACTCTTTAGATGTTTTGTCGATAATGTTGTTTATAATTATCATTCCATTTTTATGAGTGAGGAATATGTCATTAATATTAATGAATCCTTTCTTTAATTGACTTATAATATATATTTTATAATAAATAAATTATAAATGCTTAATCCTTTGTTTATTAATCTTTTTTTAGTCGTTAAGATTAAAATATTTTAATCAAGCTGATTTGATTGCAATCTATACTTTATAATTGATCGGGATTTCAACAGAAATTTCAAACTCTATTATTAGCTTAATTATGATTTATGGAGAATATATTTTTTAATTTGATGTTCTTACTTAAGCTGGTTGATAGAAACCTCTAAATTACTTAATTTTTTAATTATTAATTAAAGTTTAATATAATCATTAAATCTATGGAATTATATAAGTTACTATAATTAATTCTGAGCTATTTATCTTTCTTAAAAAAAAAAATCCTTTATTGTTAGTTTTAGATCCTTATCAAAATCTAATAATCTAGATGTGGTAACTATTCTCTAATTTTGGAAACGTTCGGGGCAATTGCAACATTTAAGAACCATTATATAATTATGATATGATATGTATATCTTTATTATAATTAATTAATATATTTGGCAACAGACATAAGAATACTATATTAATGGTGAGTAACACATATGGTTTCTTATGAACTCATCTAATCGTAATTGTAAATTTAATTTATTTTATTAAGTAAATAAAACAGAAGATATATTCATTTAATTATTTAATGTTGAATTTATACTTAAACGCCTCCATATAATTAGGATCTTTTATTAAAATTTGACGACAATAATAAATAGCTTCTTTAATCTCTTCTTAACGACCTTCTCACATTTTAGAAATTAAAACTGATAAACAATCTTCTAAATACTTTAGCATATATATATGTTGATGTGAATAATTAATCATTTCATTGGGTTTTCGTTTTTCCTTTTCCTAAAAGGTTCGCATTCTGCTTTTACAAGTTTTCGATTTCTCTCAGCTAGTTTATCAGCCATCTCCTACATCGACTTCTGAACAGATGTGTAAAAAGGTTTGGCTGTGTCGATTATATGCTATTATATCT